AAACAAAAAACATATGGAAAATGCTCGATGAAGAAGAACAGCCGTCCTTCGATGTGGTTTTCCAGAAATGCGTCGCCAGTGACTCAAAAAGTAGCGCCAGCAGACGAGTCAGAGGCACGGAAACGCCAACGGATCCGGCTGGGATCTGCAGCTCAGCACTACGCTGCGACTTCGACCATCAGTTACAAATGAGGCTGGATTGTTTTTAATGTGTCGCGTAATTTCTGACTTTTGACAATCAATGCAGTTTGTACACCATTTGGCTGTCACAATTTATGTTGGATCGAACTTATCTACGGCGAATCATTTTATCCGTCACTTTCGCGCTTGTATGCGCCAGTGCGTGAAATGAATCGAACACGCGTTTTGTTACGGCAACAGAAATCTAGGGAGGGACAAATTCGCTCAACTGTTCGCAATATAATCGCGAAAGAGCTAGACCTCACATAAGCCTGATTAACTTAAGAGGGTGATTACTCTTTTCACGAATTCTCTTTAATTCTTCTTCATTATAAACGTCCACATAATCGATTTGAGTCGTACATTGACTAATGAATGATAGCATGCTTAAAGTATTTAATTGCATAGCATATAGCCGTTAATTCCCGAGTTAATGTAATAGCCGTTAATGCGCGGAGTTGAATTTTTTGGAGAAGAACGCGAATGGTCTCCACGATTGAGTTTTTGCTCTTGGACAGCGCCCATAGGACACGTCTGTGACGACCCATACCTCATCGACCACCGAGGGATGTGCTATCATTTTCGCGTTCATTAAACTTTCCTTAACCATGTAGTAGCTTTCCACGACTTCCGAAGTCCAGTTAATTTCACGCTTATCGTTGTGACGACAATTAGGGATGTCTGAAGATAGCGCCATGAAGAATGCTGCGACGGTAAAAATTAACTATTCCCAGAAAAGGCGTAATTCGTCGATAGTCTTGGGTTTTGGAAAATAGTTAACAGTCAGAACTTTATCTGGTGTTGAGTTGTAACCATTTGGGTTAATACGATATGCTGTGATTATTAATTCTGGGACGCTGAATTGATATTTGTCCACGTTAAGACAAAGATGAAACTACTTAAGTCTTTGCAATACAATGCTGCAATATAACGCTGACACTTCCGGCCCCACTCTCAGTCCCAACAAGAGATAAGACACAGGTATTGTAACGCTGACCCTTCCCGCCCCACTCTCAGTCCCAACAAAAGATAAGACACAGGTATAAATAGGCCATTAATTATGCGAGCGAGCAGTGACATTCTTATAATCAGCCCGGAACATCAATCACAGTGTAAAAGTTCCCACTCTGTTGTAAAATAAACATATGCTGAAAAGCCATAGCTTTCCAGCTCCTTTTAAAAAGCGAAGTCATTCAAATCCTGCGTAACAACGGAGACCAAATGGCGTTGTCTAAAATCAAATCGCTAATTTTTAGATCGCGGTCGATCTACGTATGTTTTTGTACTTCGTACACAGTAAACAGTCTCCTGTTTGTATCGTCGC